GTAGGTAATGATCAAATTGGGGTAACTAGCATATCCATCATCTTGAACTTTTATAGGTTTTTTTTAATACAGATTACATTTAGATTTTAAATGGAAAAAAAAAAAGGAAATAAGCCAAAGAATATCTCAGTAGATGTAAAAACAAGAGAAAAAGCACAATGATGTGAATATACCGGTGTCATAGAACTGTACACTTAATGGTTGAAATGGCTAGTTTTAGAATAAGACAAAAATCATAATTTTTTTTTCCTAGTACTGAGGATGGATTCCAGGGGTGTTCTGTGTTTTTTATTTTGAGACAGGGTCTTGTTCGTTGCTGAGGCTGGCCACAAATTTGCAATCCTCCTGCCTTAGCCACCTCAGTAACTGGGATTACAGGTATGCATCACCATACCCCACAAAACCAGTTTTAAAGAGAAAAATGGAATAGACCACAATCTTGACTATAAGGTAATGTATCTTTGCTCTTTAACAAAGTGGGGACAAAGGTGATAGATTAAACTTTTTCAGGTGGTTGGAATCTATCTCAAACAACCCTACATGAAGGAAAAATTTTAAACTAGAGCTAGAGACTACCTGTGAAATAACAATACATGTCAAAAATAATAGGCTATCATTAACATTAGATAAAGCAAGAGTTCATAGTCTTAAATGGCTTAGTAATCACACCAGAAAAAAATAAAGCTAATGAAGTTTCAAAACAAATTAGTTAAAAGCCAGGTACAGAAGTAGGGATTAAAAAATAACATTTCTGTTTATGAATACATGAAGACAGGGCAGGATCTTAATTAAACTTTGCTTATTCTGCCTCCAGTCAAGGCATAATATATTAATGTTCCCATTAAATATTCAGCTGTAAAAAAGCTGGACATATACCACAGTTAACTTGAGTAATAAATAGATTAGTTGACTGTGATGAAGAGTTCAAAGACACTTCAATCAGGTGTCATCTTAATTCGTCTTTTAAATAAAATCTGTCATTGTTAGTATTTTCATTGTCTATGCCTTCCATTTCATGCCAATATCAACTAATTCTCCTCAAATTAATTTACAGATATATTCTCAATCAACATCTTAACAGGCAAACACAAAAAGTTGATTCTCTACGTGCAAATGAAAAGGAGTAAAAAAACAGCTAAGAAACTCTTGGGGAAAAAAGATGATCTTGGTAAAGTAAAAATTCTTGTGTATGTCTTTTTTTTAATATTTATTTTTTAGGTGTAGATGGACATAACACAATGCCTTTATTTTTAAGTGGTGCTGAGGATCAAACCCAGGTCCCGCTCGTGATAGGCAAATGCTCTACCGCTGAGCCACAATCCCAGCCCCTGTGTATGTCTTTTAATCTCTAAAATTCAGAGCTATTAATTTTGATAGCCTGGCACAAACATAGGCCAAGAGAACCAAGCAGGGCCCAGGAAGAGACTTTACACTGATAGGATGCAGGTGACACTGCAGAGCAATAGGGACAGGACAGACTTCAACCAAGTGACATTGGGTTATTATCTATACTGATTTCAAAACACAAAACTAGACACACACACAGCACCACACACACACACACACACACACACACACACACACACACACCTCTCTAGATGAAAGCTCTAAATGATAAAAGAAAAAAATAAAATTTAAGTATAATGGACTTTTTTTTTTTTTTTTTTTTTTTGGTACCAAGGATTGAACCCGGGATGCTTAACCACTGAGCCACATCCCCAGCCCTTTTTTTTTTTTTTTTTTTTTTTTAGATTTTATTTATAGACAGGGTCTCACTAAGTTGTTCAGTGCCTCGATTTTGTTTTGCTGAGGCTGGCTTTGAACTCAGATCCTCCTACTCAGCTTGCCGAGCTGCTGGGATTACAGGCGTACACTACCGCACCTGGCATAATAGACTATCTTGATGTTCAGAGTAGGGAATCATCAGTGAAGATCAAAAAGAACACATCAAAGGAATAGATTGATAAATTTAGCTACATTAAAAGATATTTGGGGGCTGGTGTATAGTTCAGTGGTGGAACACTTTCCTAGCATGCATGAGGCCCCAAGTTCAATCCCTAGAACAAAAAAGAAAATTAAAAACTTCTGCCTATCATGGATACTATGAAGAAAATGAAAAGACTGATCACAAATTAAAAGTATCTGCAACGCAAAACCTCAAAAGCTGAATATGCAGAATACATACAAAATTCCTACGGGTGAAGTGCCATTGATCTCTCACTTTTATTGACTAGTTTAAAAAATAAAATCATAAATGTGTATGCACATCAGGTGCAGGAGTACATGCCCATAACACCAGCTACTCAGGAGGCTGAGGCAGGAGGATCAGAAGTTCAAGGATTGCCAAGGGAACTTAGGAAGACTCTGTCTCAAAATTTAAAAACACAAAAAATTTAAAGGACTGGGGATGTAGCTTAGTGGGAGAATGTCCCTGAATTCAATCTCCAGTAGTATAAAAATAATAAAGCATATTATATGCATGAATGCATGCATATGAATGCATACCTGCATACATTACAACAAAACAAAGAGGGCAAAATGTTAAAACTGTTGAATCTAGCTGATGAAAATAAAGGTGATCCTTACAGTTCTGTTTTCTCTCCTGTTCTCCAATTTCATACACTTTATAGTATAAATGGTTGCAAGGATACAGAGTCCCACAAAGTAGCGGAGTGGGGGGAAACTACTGGTGTAAGATATGATAAGCACTTTTCAAAACAGGAAACAGAACCAGATGAATAAAAAAACACAAACATCCTCATTAGCATTCACAGAGACACATATTAAAACTACTTGAAGAAATCACTTAATGCCCATCAGGGTTGACAAAAAACTGCAAGTCTGGCTATATCGAATGATTGAGAAGAAAGAGGCTAATGGGTGTTCGCAATATTCTGCTGGTAAGAGCATAAATACGTACTGGGTAACATATACTGAGGCATATTCCAAGGACAACATACTATTCTGTGGTAGAAATGAACTATAGTTTATACAATCAACACGCATCAACCTCAACTAGTTTTAAGCAAAAGAACTAAGTCTCAAAAAAAATATGGTGCCGTTCCCATTTAGAGTTCAGGATTAAGAACCAATCAATTTCATGTTCAGCAATACTCTCAAAGATAAAGACATCATAAAAACTTAAGGATGTTTACCAAAGTCAGAATGGTGGTTGTCCTTAAAAGGAGGACAAGATACAATCCAAGAGGGACAGAGAAGAATGCTCCAGGCTGCCAGCACTCCTTTTTTTTTTTTTTTAAGACAGTGAGTATGTGAGTGTTTCCAACTATACATATACACTTCACATGCTCTTCAGTATGTGAGCCATATTTCATAAGAAATTACATTCAGAAATACCAGTAGTACTGGAAATTGTTGAAGATAAAAGGCATAAAAATCATTTTACCTTAAATTAGGTCCCCCAATGCATTAGACAAATTTGTTATTTCAAGATTTGCTATACTCAAAATTATTTTTGTAAAGATAGAAATCCTTTATTAGGGAAAATAATCACCCTCTCTTATCCGTCTGGTAAGAACAGTGTTAGCATATATGCTGCCAACATGCATATTTAACTGCTTTTTAAATAGAAAATGGAAAATTTCATAGACTACACAATTTAGACTTCTCTAAAAAATATAGGGGCCCTCTCATACATACCAAGACAATAAAAAGCAAGTGTGTTACTAAAATATAAAACTATTTCGCTATTTCACAATTAATAATTGTTTAATAACAATGCACGTGGATATAAAAGATTATTCTTCCTATTATGTGTCCATGGAAAACATAGTGGGAAGGGAGGAAACAAGATACAACCTTAAAGACTATAATCATCTTTTAATAGGAAATAACAAAGTTTTAAAAATTAAACATAAAAAGTTTTGAGATTTTATGCTACTAAAGAGATCCCTAAAATACTCCTTCATCCTTTGTATTCCTGATTTTCTTTTCCTTTTGTACTTATGTATTTGACATATTCCAATTTATATTTTTATCTCATCTCTACTATAGGTGAGAATCACCTTCTTCGTCTGTGTGACACAAATGCTCCCAGCTTGAGGCCTTGAATGATGAGGCCAAACATCTTTTAACTGTAAGTGAAAACAAGTTAATTCTTGTATTATTGATAAAGTATGATTTATCATCCAATCATATATCCCATAGTGACAAATGACTAAGCACTCAAAACCACAGGCTGAGAAGTGTTCCCACTTCATTTCCCAACCACTAGGGGGAAGCCTTGGGAGGCTTTTCCACAACGGGAACATAACTGTCATCACATAATCTGTGAAGTAAGGAATGCCAAAGGAAGATGTTTATCCTGATATGTCTTTTTCATTCCTGAAGGAGTGTTTTTAGCCTATGGCTTTGCCTTGGGTGAAACAATGTCAAGTCATATAAAGCAAACAGAATGCCTACCTTTTAGGCGGGTTATCAAGTCCTTTACATGGTTACACACAGGAGCAACATGCATATAAGGGGGCCATGAGAGGTGAAGTGAATAAATTGAAAAAAAAATTACATCACATAACAAATACTACTCAATATTAAAATCAGGGGATACTAGTGGGAAGCTTCCACATTTCTAAAAAAACTTCAAAATGGCAACCTGACAAAATAATCAAGGGGCACCTGAGGCTCACAGAATTCTCTATACATATCTTGCTTACCAAACTTCTGTAGCAATAACTTAAAGGGGGGTACATCATTAACAGCATGCTATTAAAAGCATGCTATTAAAAGCTAGTTAGTAGTAACAGATATAAACAACTATCTTTTTAAAATCAGGCCATTAAACAAGTGAGTGAGAAAGCCAGTTCTTTTTTATACTTGCTCCACTGCAGGTCACCTGCTAGGGGTGGCTTGTCAAGATTATTTAAATTCAGGAGCAATACTTGGTTGACAAGCTCCTGCACTGCTGCAGGCTACAATCCTCACACAGTGCCTGGAGGGTTATTACAATTGCGTGTCTACAGAGGACAACAAAGGAGCCTTACCCCTTCCCGAAGGCACCTCATTAGCACCGTGTAAGCAGCCAAGGGAACGGCCCAGCATTCTCTGGGGTTCTTTTTTTTTTCTTCCTAAAATGAAGTAGAAGGAAAGACAGTGAAGCTAACAGCACAAAAGATATTAACCCATTCAAGAAAGAGGCACAGTTCTAAATACAAGAACTATCTAAAACTTAATATTCTATTTAACTTAAAACTTAATACCTGACAATTACAATCAGATCAAGGGTCTTTTACTGCAGCGTATACACCAAGTATTTCTTCTATCTCACACTATTTTACATATCATGTTGACAAGATTCCCCTCATCAAAAGCTAGATAAAAATAATTGAAAAATGAGAATATGGTTCAACCAACAGAGAAACCATTCTATTGATAACTGAAGATGATAGCACAAATAACCCTACCCAAAAGGTACTACAAAATCTGGAATCATTTGAAAGCAGAGAACACACAACTTTAAGTAACATCCATAAGACAATAAGTTACCAGGTGAGATAATGTGCTAAATAAAAATAAGCAAATGTAATTAGCAGGGACACTGATTTTAATGACATCAACACAATTGTCCCACAGAAGATTAACCAAATTACCATAACCACCGCAAGAACATTCCTGCAACCTATCAAAGTAAATCAGGTGCCACACAGGAAGGTGAAAAAAATTTTAAAGCACAAAAAAATAGGAAAATAGGTTCTATTTTTTTTTTAAACAGGCAGACCTGAATGCTCAGAATGGGAAAATAAAATAGAGGAAGCAAAACGCAGGGCAGGTATGTCTGTCCCCTGTGCAACTGGCCCCTGGCATGCTTGGTGTGGGAGCCGAGTTGGCAGATGGAGCATTGCCTTTCTAAAAGGGGAGGCTCCTGCATGGCTGAGGATAATGCATGGAAATCAAGCATGTGAATAACAACCACTTTGAGGAGTGTAAGTGGCATGGGCAGAAGCAGATGCAGGCCACCACTCTCTTGGAAAGTGGCTTCCGAAGCTCTGGCTTTCTCATGTGCATCAGCAAAGAGAAACTGGACAGTAGTTCTGACTTGGATGTGGATGGGGATGGGGATGACACTCTGGAGTATAGGAAGCCACTATACATGGAGACTGGTGTGATCATAAGGCAAGGAGCCTGGTGAAGGCACAAAGAGAAGCACTCCAGGGCATAGTCCTAAATGGTGACATCCTAGCATCCACATCACACTCTAATTCTCTAAATGGGCCAGTGGCAGGATGCCACCCACCAGCAATGGTGAAAGCAGCAAAGTAGGAGGCCATGCAGAAGACCTGCATTAAGAGCAACATTGAGAAACAAACTGAAGATTCAGTTGTGACTATGTTTGAAGCCCTGAAGGCTTGAATCAGGGAGCTTGAATGGCAGCTATCTAGGGGAGACCAAAACAAATGCCTTTATCTTTATGGGCTCACACTGATGTCCCGTAGATCCAATGTTGGCAAATAAGCTACTAAGGATCAGGCTGCAGACCCTGAGTGCCAAGAAGCTCTGAGCTTGGTGCAATATCATTATAGCACCTGGAGACCTTTGGAGGATCTACTTGTGAGCTAGCCACCCAGGCAGGCCTTTCTGTGAGTGAATAGCTTCACCTGGACCCAGCCTCTGTGACCATGACCCTCTCCCCTGTATGCATATGCACATGCATACACACATAAGACACAGGACTCTGGAACCAGAGTGGAGGCTGAGGCCCAGGCCCTGCCTGATAGCTCCCACCAAGCCTGGGTAATGAACATACCTTCCATGCCTCTGTTCTCAGGGTCAGGCAGTAGAGTGGGGGTGGGGAGTAGACAGGGCAAGGCTCCAGAGGTACAGTTCCCACACACATGCAAACACTAGACTGAAGCACATGTACTATAGACCACATATGTTTACAATGCTGTGTATAAATGAGGCAACTCCTTTGCCCTCTACCCCCTCCCTTTTGGTTGTATGACTTTCTTTTAAAGAACTTCTGGAAGCTGTGTTCAGGGCTGGTTGGGGAGCTGTTTAAAGAACCTTTGAAACCTCCTTCACAGCTGGTTGGGGGTTCAGCCCATCCACTTCTTGGGGTGCCTGCCTCTCCTTCTCCTATGTGCTCAGTGTTCTGTGGTATATATTTCTTCTCCCAGACATGGGTTACGTACCCTGAGGGACATGACCCTCTCCTTAGTCTTAGCTCTTGGGGCTGCTCTCAGGACCTAGGAAGTAGGTCCTGAGCTGAAGCAGAGGCCGAAATGGGGGCTGGTTGAAGGCACCCCTGGCCGTTCCTCCTGAGGGCCCCAAAGTATGACGCTGTGCCTGCATATTCTATAGAAAGATAATTGTCCTTTCCCTTTTAAAAACTACTCTTGACAAGGATTAAAGCAAAATAACCAAAAACCTGATAATTCCACAAAAGCTGTTGCCTCACTAAAAGCTATTTTTATAGACCCAGGGATTAACTTCCTTTTTTTGGTATGCTATAAGATGTAGTCATGTCATGGCCACAGAATCATCCCTTTATTAAAAAAGGTTACCCTTTATCCAGTTTAAAAATAGACACCAAGGAACAACATTCTCCAAATCTACTGTAGAAACAGACATGTGATGCTGTGTATTTACATAAAACTCTAGTGTGAATGACAGAAAGCAAATCAGCAATAGCAAAGTATGCTGAGGAAACTTGCAGGTAAAAGTATATTATCTTTGATTATGGCAATAGTTTCACAGATATATGTGCATATATCAAAATTTATCAAATTGTTATCTTAAAAAATGTACACTTCATTATACAGCATTATACATTAAACTGGGAGAGAAGGGGGCGGAGACAAAAGAACAACTAGATTCCCATTCCTGACAAGATGATAAACTACGTACCTGATTAATCTTCTAATGAAAATAAATGGTTTTATTTTGACATCAAGAAGATAAAGACTAATTAAAAAACTGAAGAATCCCAAGCACAGTATGGATATGCTGAGCACTGAAGTCTGAGTTTACTCTGAGGGCCTGAAAAACTTGATAAATTTGAGCTTTTATGTCAAGGCCTTGGAAGGCCTTGGGAGTCCTAGGGAATGGCAAAGTGGACATCAACTCTCCAGCCTCATCCCTAAAGAGCTGCAAGGAAAAGTGCCTTTCACAAAAACTTGGCACATCAGAACATCACACAGGGAGACGTTCCTTTACAAGAGGAGGGAAACAAGAAGCTGCATGTGCCGATTAAGAAATAGGACTGTGTTAATGACTAAGCAAAAGCTCTAGTGCAAGTATCTCCATATATTTTTATACTTTTTTTTTTTAATGTTGAGGATTGAACCCAGGTGCACTACATCAACGAGCTACATACCCAGCCCTTTTTTAGTTTTTATTTTGAGACAAGGTCTCACTAAGTTGCAAAGAGTCTTGGTTGCTGAGGCTAGCCTCAAACTTGCAGTCCTCCTGCATACACTATTCATATCTTTAAAGAGAAAACACCAAGTTTCTGCCTGTGTAAAAAATGAGACAAAATAAGAATATACATCTCTTTTTGCTGGTACTTTCAAAGTTAACTCTAATATAAGAAAGTATTCATAAAGTTTCTTTTTGAAAACTAGGCAGATATGGAACAAAAATAGGAAAAAAAAAAAGACTTTTCCCTGTACACTTGACCTTACTTCTGGCTTTCTGGTTCATAAATGAGTTTGCTCTTCAAAACAAATTTACATACAAATATATTCAACTGAACATGTACAAAAAGCTTCCTGAATAGAAAGAAATAATGCTAGTGGAAATTATTTTTAAATATAAGTATGGAGAAAAATTGCTTTTGGTGCATTAGAGTACTAAATATCACAAAGATAGCAATACTTTCCTAATTGCTACACATATTCAGTACCAGTCCTAACATTTACTGGAAGACCCAAAATTCTCCTCGAATTTATCTGCAAAAATCAATGCATTTTTTTTTAAATATGATTTACAGACCGGACAAGCTGACTCAAAAATGTATTATGACATGTAAAGGGCCAGGAATAGCCAAGACACTAATGTAAAGAAAGAACAAGAAAGAGATTTGCTGTACTATCAACACTAATTATGAAGCCAAACAATTTTAAATATTCATATTTTATAACAATTGGTAACTACCTCAAAGTGATGATTATTGAGAAAGCTGGTTTAATATGGATCTAATAATATTCAGGTTGTGTAACATTTGAGCAAGTTCAAGAACAAAAAACTTAATCAGAATTTCCTTATTAATTTAAAACCTACAGGTATCTGCTTAAAACTGAGTATCACATGATATGACTAACCCATAATTTATCAATATCTATTCAATAATGTTTTTTTTATAAAACATTAGTGGAATATTAAATTTTCTCTTGGTGAGTTCAATAGCACTTCCATATTGTAACTTTAGAAACAAGAAGTCAAATCCTGCCATTCTATATTAGTCATTAAAAGCCAAACCTGCACAAAGTAGTGTTTTATTTAAACTGAAAGGGGGCTCTATATTGAAAGAAACAATGGTCTTCTCCTACCTGAAGGAGTCAAAGATGGCAACAACTTAGGGAACAATTTGGAGACTTTTAGTTCATTATTTTTAAGATATGGTCTGAGAATCTCCTACATGTTTAAGGAAACTAGGCACTGAGAGGGAGGGAAGAAGAGAAACAAGGTCAGCTAGAGAGAAAGACACTGAGAAACTCTTCCCCAAAAGTAGTTTCTCCTAAGTTCCTTAGGCATGCTCTAAGCGGAAAAGTAAAAAAAAAAAAACTTTTATAGGATATTAACACTCGTCAGCCAGGATGTGTTGGAACATGTCAAACAGCAACAGAGTTAATCAGACAGTCTCACCTGGGTGGCTACAAGATAGATCAGCTCCCCAAGGGTCGGTAAAAGGCACTGTTTTAATTTGCTGTTCCTGAAGTTCTCCCTAATTAATTCAGTTAAGAGAGCAATTGCCTGAAAAGAGAAAAGCATATTAGTTCAGGTGTATCACTCAGTTCTTTAAATTATAACGTTGAAAGCAAAACATGCCACAAATTTATCTCCCATTTTTTAGAAAGTATGTTTTCAAAGTATGGGAATCAGAGGAAATCATTTCCCCATCTTTAAAGAAGTAAACAGAAGTTTACAAAGGTTCCATCAACTGAACTAGGCCATCCAATTCACCGAGACACCAGGTCACAGATTTTACCACACCACATCCCTACTCTTCTCCAGCACACTACAATTTGAAATGTTCTCACAGTATAGCAGACTTTTACATGATTCCTTTAAAAGTCTGCGAGGGGGAATGTTATACCAACGTTTCAGTGTAATCTACTCCAAAATTCAGCAGCTTAACTTGCTAAGAGTCGGACTAAGAAAATCACATACATATTGAATTTGTACATAAGAACACAGGTTAATTGAATAATGAAGTCAGTCAGAATGGTTTTAGAATGATATATACAGAATGACCCCATACTAAGAAGGAAAAAATGTCTATAAATATTGTGGATGAATTACTCTAAAACAGTGAAAATCAGAATGCAGTGCACAGATGAGACTATTTTTTATCATTCATTGGAAGATACTTGAAAAACTGAAAGTGAGCACTTCAAAAATTTCAGAGCAACTCAACAATGCCACAACATTCAAGCATGCAATTGCTGGATTTTGCAATTGTGTGGGGCTACAGCACTATACAGAAGACACACATTGAAGGAACACTTATTGTCAAGGTATTTTTAAAGAGCTTTTCTGAATGATAACATATATACAATAACTATGTATATGCCTGTGAAATCACTATGATCAAGATGGTTAACATCCCCTAGAATGTCCTCAAGGGCCTCCCTCTGTTTGGCTCCTCCCCAACCAGCCTCCAATATACTTTTGATCAGTAGTTTGCATTTTCTAGGGTTTATGTAAATGGAATCATATATTTTGTATTCTAAGGTTTCTTTCACTCAGTATAATACATTTGAGATTCACCCACATTATTGCACTTATCAAGAGCTTATTCCTTTTTATTTCTGTGTAGTATTCCATTGTTTGGATGTACCATAATGTGTTAATCTCACTACCCAATGACTAAAATGCAGTGAATCCCTACCAGAACACAGGATGAACAAAGAATGATGCACCATCACATTATCCTTTTCAGTATGTCATTTCCACAGTTTTCCTTTTCTTTGACCTTCACTGATCATCCACTAGGACTACACTGAATCATCTAAAATGTGCCTGTATTCAATTTTTTACCTACAAAGACAAACTGTCACCAACACACTATCCTAAAAGAATGGCTCAAGTAAATATATGAAAGAGAAGGATGAAAGAAGGAAGCTTGGAATATCAAAAAGGAATGAAGAACACATTAAGCGAAAGTATAGATAAATACAATATTCATTCTTTTTCCTATTAATTTTTCTGAACTGTTTCATAGTTAAAGCAATTATATCAAAAATTGTGATTTTGTTCTAAATATATTTATAGAATATATTTAAGGCAATTATACAAAATGAGTAAGTCTAAAGAGATGAAAAGAGTTAAATTTTCTGTACTTCACTTGAACTGGTAAAATTATGACACCTGTGGACTATGATAAGGTGTATGTAATACCTGGAGCGAGGATTACAGACGATTTATGCAAAGAGAAACACACACCACTATAAAAAAAAAAAAAAGAGTCAAATGGAATTGAAAAAATGTTCAGTTACCCTTGTTAGATAGTAAAAGGAAAACAAATGAGAATGAAAGCAAACAGAAAGTAGCAGGCTTAAGATCAAATATATCACTAATTATATTAAATGCAAATGATCTAAATATAGCAATTTAAAGACAGTTCAACAAAGTGGAATTTTAAAAACGGCCAACTATATGCTGCATACAAGAAACTCACACCAACATATCGATATAGGTAGGTTGAAAATTAAAAACATAAAAAAGTAAATCAGGGAAGCAGTAATCAAAAGCAAGCACGAATGGCTATGTTAATATCCATAGAAGAGAAACACTGTAGAACAAGTCAATCCACCACCCACCAAAAAAAAAAAAAAAATGCTAATCATCAATGTGTATCACTGAATAAGAAAGTCACAAAATACATGGAGCAAAAAGAATAGAACTGGAACGAGAAAGATAAATACACAATTAATGTTGTAGACTTCAACACTTCTCTCTTGGGTACAGAAAGAAAAATACTGCATGATCATCCTCTGTGAAATCTTAAAAAGTAAGACTTGTAGAAATAAAAAGTAGGATAGTGGTTACCAGAGGCTGTGGGTCAGGTAGAGGGATAGGGGGTTGCTGATTAAAAGGTAGAAAGTTATAGTTAGACAGGAGGAACAAGGACCTACTGCATAGAATGGTGACACAGTGTGTATGACACAACTGTTCAAATTTTAAATATTCTAACTATAAATAACTATAGAAGGTGACAGATATGCTAATTTGCTTAATATAATCACTTTATAATGTATACATGTTAATATGTCACATTGTAAACCATAAGTAGATAATTATTTGTCAATTTAAAATTTTTTAATAAATTGATAAAACAAGCAGACAGAAAATGAGCATTCATCAAAAAGATAATGGAATACTACAACCTTATGCACATAAATTTCATAACTTGAATGAATGGACCAATTCCTCAAACACAAATTATCACCACTCACTCAATAAGGAACAGTTATTTGCAAATGACATGATTCTTTACATGTCAACTAGGAATGTGATCTTCCTAGAGTTTGGCAAGATCATAAGATTCAATATCAATATTCAAGAAACAATTATATTTCTATATATTAGCAATGAACACATGAAAATCAAAATTAAAAACAATGATATTTACAATAAAAATATAATACTTGGGTGTAAATCTAACAAAACATGTGAAGAGTGTGTATGTGAAACTATACAATGCTGTTAAAAAATAAAATGTAAATCAATGAAATGAAGATCTAAATAGAGATATACACTATGTTGATAGATAGGAAAACTCAACATAATGAACATGTTAATTCTTCCTAAAATGATAGTCAGGTTTAATGCAGTTCTTATCAAAATCCTGGTAATTTTTATAGGTATCAACAAGATTTTAAAATTTACATGGAAATTCAAAAGAATTAGAACATTCAAAAACCACTGTGAAAAAGAACAAAGTGGCTGGAATTATTCTATTTGACTTCAAGATGTATGTATATAAGTACATACAACTGATTTTTGACAACAGTTCAAGATTTATGTTAGGGTTTAGATGCAAGGTGCCCCCAAAAGGTCATGTGTGAGACAATGCAGAAATAGATTATGAGCAGTAGACCCTCATCAATGGATTACTCCACTGGTATGGATTAATTGGATGATAACTGTAGGCAGACAGGGTGTGACTAGAGGAGGCAGGTTGGAGTTATGCCTTTGGGGTTTATTTTGTCCCTGGTGAGCAGAGCTCTCTGCTTCCTGGTTGCCACATCCTGAGCTACTCTTCACCACCACACCCTTCCACCATGATGTTTTGTATTACCTCAGGCCCAGAGATACAGAGTCACCCAACCATGGATTGATCCTTGGAAACTGGACCAAAATAAACTTTTCTTCCAAGTTGTTATAGTCAAGGTTTTGGGTCAGAGAAACAAAAAAGCTGACTAAAATGACTTACATACTTTCTGTAATCAAGACAGTATGGCAGTTTTGACGGGACAGACACATGGCCAATGGGACAAAATAGAGAATCCAGAAATAGCTATACATAAGTACAGACAACTGATTTTTGACAACAGTGCAAAGGCAATCCAATGGAGAAAAAAACAAACTTTAAAAAAAGAAAATGGTGGAATATTTGGAAGTCCATAGGAAAACCAAAAAGTGAGACTTAACCTAAATCTAACACTTCATTCATATAGTTAACTCAAAATGGACCAAATATAAAAAACAGAACTATAAACTTCCAAAGGATGGGGGAGGGGAAAAACAAAATAAATCCTTAGGATGTAGGGCTAGAGCTAAGGAAAAAAGGTAGATCAACACCAAAAGCATAGAGATATTGTACCAGAGAAGACAGTTGGCAAATAAGTGAAAAGATGCTCAACAGCACAAGAAATGAGAACAAAAACCAAAGTGAGATATCACCATACATCTATAGTAATAAAAAACAGAGAAAACATCAAAAGTTACTGAAGATGGTGAGAAACTGAATCACTCCCACCTTGATAGTGGGAATTAAGAAAGGTACAGCCACTCTGGAAATGGTATGGCAGTTTCTTTTAAAAATTAAGGGAAAAAAAAAACTCAATTACTGCACTCCTAAGCACTTATTTCAGATAAAGGAAGACTTTCATGCACAGAAAAAATTTTAATAGATATTCATAGCAGTTTTATTTGTAAATGTCAAAACTGAAATGACCCAGATGTCTTTCAATAAGCTAATGGTTACATAAATTGTGGCAAAACAATCCCAAGAAAACCTCAGGAGGAAAAAATAAATTATCGATACACACAATTACCTGGATGAATCTTCAAAAAAATTAGGAATGAAAAAGAAATCCCAAAAGGTTACATGTTACATGACTATTTATACAACATTTTAAACATGACGAAAACATAAAAATGGAAAAAAGATACTGAAGGTTGTGGGAGTGTGAGATCACGTGCAGTAGGGGGAGGCTAAGGTGGGCATTAAAGGGATCCTGAAGGATCATAGCAGTGATGAAATTTCTCTTTTCTTTAACTGTCCCAGTGTCAATATCCTGTGGTAATAGCATCCCCAGTGTCAATATCCTGTGGTAATAGCATCCCATCGTTCCCAAAGATGCTATCATTAGAGAAAGTGGACATAGCATACCCAGCACTTTTCTGCGTGTTTTTTTTAACAATTGCATGTGAATCTACAATTATGCCAAAATTAAGAATTTAATTAAAAAGAACCTCATACTAAACTCAAATCCAGCTTTCTGCTTCAAAGGTGGCTGCAGGGA